GGCGCTTAGGGCCAGGCCTGCACCGCTGGGCGCCTGGCAAGGGTGGGTGCCGGCTGTGGACCCCACAAAGTCTATGGTGAACTTGGTGACCCCAGACAATTCCGGTCCACGCCATGGCCTGAGCGCCATGGCCTAGAAGGCCAAGCCCGAGGCCCTACTCTTGGTGTAGCCTCCACAAGGACGACCCGGCTGGACCCCAAGGCCCCATTGCTAGAAGGAGAGGGACGAAGAGGACTTTGGATTTTCTCCTTGTGTAGTTGGCCAGCTCACACTCCCTGCTTTTGCCCTGTCATAAACTCAAAGTACACCCTCGCCTCCAGTTACATGAAGTGTGGCATATGTTTCCCCACCATACACAATGGACCTTGAAGGTCAATATAGATCATTAACCCATCCAAAAGTCCTGGGTGGGGGGGCAGAAATACAACTTTGGAAGAGTCAAAATCGTGTGTTTTGCCATTTTTGTATGAGGTGCACATGTAATCCCAACACTGAGACAGGACAATGGAGTTTGAGGACCGCCTAAACTGCAAACCCAGCCCTTGTCTGAAGATGTGCGAGCAACAGCAGGGCTCATGCCTTGATCCCAACACTCTCACTCTGGAGGCAGAGGCAGGTGGATCTCTGAGTCCGTGGCCAGCCTGGGCTACAGAGTGAGTTCCAGGACAACCAGGGCTATTACACAGAGAATTGTCTAGGGGGAAAAAGTAACAACTTGAAATTATTTGTGTATGTAGAAAAACCAACAAAATAGTGCAACCCTCTCAATACAGGCAATTGAGACAAAGCTGCTTCATAGTCAATGTTAGATTTAGAATTTCTGTAGTACTAGCAGCCATGGCGGGAGATAGGGGCCCGCCCACGACTTGATGCCACTGCCCTTCAGCCTGACCTGTTCCCTAATTATGTAGATTGGAAAACCTCAACCTTTACTTAACTGTGAAAAACAATTTTAGAATTAGCTGATAAGGGGCAGGTTTGGGGCTTGTTAAAGGGCATTTTAGAGTAGATCTTAGGCACACTTAGATCTTGGTGAAGAGAAGGAGGTGCTTCCGTAAGACAAAGGCACACTACAGAGCACGGACAGAGGCTTCTCTGAGAGTCTCTCTGTTGTCCTGCCAGGATCTACCAATATATGTCACTTCTGATGTATACCATTCATGTCAGTGTTGAAACTATTGTCTTCAGAGGGTAACCAAGGACCCTAAAGGAGATACCAGGGTGGTCCCAGAGGGGTGCCCTCCAGGTTTCAATTGATAAGGTAAAACTCTAGTCTCTGGAATTTGGAAAGATAGTTTATCTTTACTATAAACAAAGTTAGTCTCGTTTGAGATTCCTAGAAGGTGTCTGGAAAATTAAATGAGGCCCTTCCAAGGTCATGTGCGACCTAGTTTTAAGTCTGTTTCATAGCTCTTTTAACATAAGATCCTGTGTGTGTGTGTGTGTGTGTGTGTGTGTGTGTGTGTGTGTCTGCAACTTTTACAGCAAACGTTGCTCAGTAATTGTTTTGGAAGTCTTTCCTGTCTTCTAACAAGTAGCCTCAACTCTGAGATGAAGGGTTTCTTTCTCTTCCAGTAATTTCCCCCATTGTCTTCAAGGATACATTCCAAGCCCATCCCACTCCCACTTATAAAATAAAAATAGTAATGGACTGTGTGTGTGTGTGTAATTTGTAAGTCACAGTAAATTAACAATAAAAAACAGATAAATGAAGCCTTATACTGTAGTATTTAATTAAAATAAAAAATTCTATCAAAGTATAGTTGTATTTTTTAAAGATTTATTTATGAGTATGCGTTTATGTGTCAAGGAATTGGTATGAGTACAGGTGTCTGTGGAGGCCAGAAGAGTGTATCTGATCTCTTGGAACTGGAGTTACAGAATATTTATAAGCTACCTGGTGTGGGTGTTGGGAACTGAACTCAGGTCCAATGGAAGAACAGTATAGGCACTTAACCACTGAGCCCTCTCTCTAGCTTGAAATATCACTACATGTTACAGATGGGAAAATGAGGGTCTGGGCCTATGATGTATCCCAATTGCATTGCCTAAAAAATTACTGGAACATGGTCAGGCAAGTGTACACAAAGAATCTGTGTGCCATGGAAGTAAGAAACTTTGTAGCTACTTAATTCTATAGATCTGATTTTCAACCAGACATTTTTCCCCTTTTTTAAAGCATTGCCATATTCTCTGTCCTTCCAAAAAAAAAAAAAAAAGAAAAAAAAAAAAGCTGGCATTCCCTGTCTGGGAAGTGGATGCCACTCCTATAAGCATTGACAGATGTAACTGGCAATGTGAGGGGGCTGTGGTTCCAGTCTCCTCTTTGGGAAGGAACATTTGGGCTGTCTGGGATAATCTAGTTAGTGGAGAAGTTTCTGTCATTTATTTGTGGC